GTTCTGCGGACCATTATTTTTATAATTTGATGTATTTCCATGTTTCCATGTGTCGCAATTATGATTATGTGGAAAATCATTTTTTTAAATTTACTATGGTTATATGATTTGAACTCAAAATAATCGGATTTTGTTATACTTTTAATCATTTTCAATTATATTGATAGCAAGGCGAATAATATAGTAATAATATAGTAAAGTAAACATCCAGGATAAGCAATGGTGCGGAGTGTAAAGACTTCTCAACAAAATCTTTAAAAAAAATCTCGACTTCGATAAGGCATTTCCAAGAAGAACTAACAGAAGCACATACCAACAGGAAAACGACTTAAAAGAAGGACTACTTTATTCGCGGTGGTTTGAATAATAAGGATAATTTAGATTTTAGAATGGTTAGGGCACGATTTTTTTTATTTCATAAATTTAGAATATATTGGAAGAACACAAAAATGACACAACTGATGAATTGTAATTAAAAAAAGTACATTTTCTATAACTAATAAATAAATAGTATTAAGGTCAAATCAGATAAAGCTTATATTTTTTTCGTATATATTAACAGTATATAATTGTAATGAAAGGCAGTGATGCAAATTTAATTATATGTAATTTACAATGAGAATGTGGTAGTACTATGCATGTGTTCGTGTAGAAGATAAGATGGCTTCGCTGTCAAAGATCTTCTCCGCTGTCTTGTTGAATAATGCATATTGGAGTGTTTGCGCGATGCGGGAGGGCGTTGGTGGGTGAGAAGAACGGAGGGGCTTGGGAATTATTTTCGCTCCATCAACAATTCCACAAAGAGACAGACAGGCCATTTGTTCCCTGGCACGAGATCTCGAGATCTCGCCGAATTACACATGCAAGAGGATAGAAGGATATATAGATAGGCGACGGAGATGGTCTAGGTTGGATTGGTTGGTTGGAATCTTGCCATTGCTTCTACTGCTTCTCCGTCTGCTACTACTACTACCATCGTCGTCATCGCCGCCTCCACCGCCACTACTTCTACTTTAAAGGCTACAGCACAAGAGACCTCCGATGCTGAGCAGTTAAATCTTGCATGATGGAAATTTGCAATTCGCCAAGAGACCGAATCGAGGAGCGCCGCGACGTCTTTGAAATCCGGCGTCTCGCGAGGCGCTTCATTAACACCAAAGCATACAACTATATATATACACAAAGATGCACATACATACACATACAATCGAATTCTAGCTCTCTTCGTACGTTCGTGGCCTGTTTCCTTCTGGTCGTTGAATTTTCCCATCATCATAAATTATTAAAACCATTGAGTCCGCAATCTTTGATCTTCTATTTATGGTATACATCTATCTTAGAAATCGTTCCCACTTCACAAGTACATTGGTGGTGATGAAGCTCTTTGAAGTATTAATATACATATATTAAGCAGTCAGAGACTGCTTTAATCTTAATTTTACTGGAAGATGTAAACATCTGTGTAACGCTTATTACTTTGTAATATGTTTAGAAACATATTACGAGATGCTTCTCGATTTAATTGGCACGCTCCAATCCTATATGCAACATAATCATCACTATTCCTTGTTAGTACATCAAGCTACCAAAAGCTACAAAAGACTTGTACATGCATACATATACTATGCATTTTAAATATTTACTTGTATATAAATGGATAATCTTTCCCGATGGATAGTTACCTTTATGATAATTTGTTTTTTTTTTAATTTGTTGGTTGGCTCTATGAATCTGCTGCCATCCTTAACACTGCCATTGTCCATCGACTTGGCTGAACCTTATTCATTTGACTGTCCATCTATGATAAACGATGTTCCTATTACTGCAAGCACCGAGAGGGCTCACAAAGGGCCTGGCTTGACCAGGATTCGAACCGGCACCCAAATCGTGGGCAGGGCGACTTAACCATTCGGCTATTAGTTGCCCTATTTACTTATATATAACTTACATTTGTAATAAATGTAATTATTTACTAGTAAATCTACATTTATTTCTATTTCATATTTATTTAACTTAACCAATTTTTTTCTTGAATTTTATATTCACTGGTAATTACAACATTTTCGCTATTCTTATATTCCAGAAGACCTGCAATAAACTAAGATATAATCTATACATTTCGAAAGTATGTTGTTATGAAATGTAGGTTATGTAGGTTGTTCGGAAAGTCATTAAAAACTACATGTCTCGATACGATATTTGGATATTATAGATCATCTGCGATTGATTACTCAATTGCAATGAAAATGTTATATTTTTAAAATCGGAGTGGATTGTTTGCAATAATCATTTTCACTTACGAAGTTTTGCAAAAATTTCACATTAGAAAAAAATATTTCTAAATGCATTTTCAGAAAATTCTCACTCAGAGGGACGTTCTGGAAGTATGAAATTGTAAAACTATCCGAAAGATGGCAAAATTTTATCTTATAAATTAACCTAAAACTACGAAATTACTTTTTAAACAACCCAATAGAAAATAATTAAATTACTCTAAAATATAATTACATTAATTGCAATAGTTTTACAATGACAAAAATTACCAAATTAAAATACATATAGATAAACCCAATTCTGTACATCGTTTATTTAAATTAACTAAATAAATTAAATTTATTATATCTTGAAGGTAATTTTATAATTTGAATACGATATACAATTCTAGCCAGTTCCTTACATTAATTTATAAGTACATGTACATATTTTGGAAAAGGAATAATATTGGTAAGGATACGTTTGGAGCGAATTGTAACCGTTTCATATTCATAAGTAGCTCCCAGTGAAACAGTAGAGAAGACGTGATAAATTTATGATAATATAGTGAATACATTCGGAATACAAAAGTGCATCTGCAGCGATGGTCGGCACACCAAAATTCACGCTCCATGTAAAACGTCAAACGAATGCGCATCCGAATTTCAAATTCAAAGATTCGCCTTCGTCCATGAGTGAAACCACTTAATTCAACGAAGTCCTTCCATCTGCAAATTAACATTTATTTTCATACTTTACTCTTTTGTAGAGACGCCTTTACTATCGATTGTCCTTCCATCCAGTACTGGACAAAACAATGAAGCAGGTGACAAAACAGTATAAACAAATTTATTGCATTATTATAATAGAATCGGTTTAACAATCACTTTGTAATTTTATATTTCATTTTCTACTTGTTTTATGTTAATGACTTTATATTTATTGAGTCAACTCGTATTCAGTTGATTCCATATGTTATCAGTCATTTTCATTAGTATTAAATCGCTTTCTCATGCGTTTTATTAGTTTTAAACAAATTTAATTCCAATTATTTTAAGTCGAATTATATTGTTTACAATCTTATCCCGTCATTTCCAATCGGTTACAATCTTTTCCAGTTGTCTCCAATCATTTCCTTTCGTTTACAATCGTTTACAATCGTTTACAATCGTTTACAATCGTTTACAATCGTTTACAATCGTTTACAATCGTTTACAATCGTATTCAATAATTTCCAATCGTGTCCAATCATTTCGAATAGTTATAAATGTAGTCATAAAGAGCATCTACAACATATTAATTATTTATGAGTATGATGAATTTCTAGACAATAAGATCCATTGGTTCGTAATGTACATTCATTGGAAAAGAAGTATCTTAAGTAATTTTTTCAAGAAAAATGTATCGGCGTGTCTACAAGATCCAAGAACTGAAACTAGCAGACCATACTTAATCGCAACATATGTACTTTATAACAAACTGAAAATATTACTACTTTTTGAATAAATATTGCGTTTAACTAAAAAAGCAAATCTTTTTGGGGCACTCATTCATGTTGATGATAAATGAACACTTTTATTTGAGTTGATTTATTGAATTTTATTATAATAATTGATCTATATATCAATCGTTCGATACATTAGCATGAAAATTCATTTAAAAACCCAAAACCTATGAAAAGATTTGACTTTATAAAGAAGAAATAAACTACATTTATGTATAAATATATTAATTTGAGTACTAATTGTTTAGAATTTATTTCTTTTCAATTAAAACTTAGTTTTTGTTGAAAACTCAAAACATTGAATCATAATGAATCAGCACTGAAGCTGAACCAACATTAAATTTTGAAATTTGCATAAATTAATTTTAAATTGAACCTACAGTAGATAGTATTATATAAATATACCTTAGTTTAAAGTTAATTCAATTTATTTATAATCAATTGGAAACTTTGATATATCTATATGTGTATACACCATATACCTCTGTCTTTCTTTTCAATAAATCTATCTTCCCAGCATTTCAGGTAATTCGGCAATATCCTTATCAAGGTGCTTTTTAGATCGACAATTCTTGACTAAATTACTTGTAGTCCGTGTTATTCTCGGTCAATATCCTAATTTCATCATAATAATTACAGTTATTGTCTTTAAGTCTGAAACCACCAGCTCTAACCTAAACGAATAGCTTGGGTATAGTACTTTGAGCTAAAGCAACTTCTGCATAAACAGCTTATTTCATGAAAATTTCTTATCTACTTGTAAATATTTAACAAATTATATCATATGGAAGATGTAAAACAACAGGAACGAAGATGTACTCTAAACTTGTTTTTTATATTTTCGAAACAAAAATTCCCGGATTTTGGGATTCTGGGAACAGAATTTATAGGCACTACCCAATATTATCAGACAATACTATTCAAAACTAACCGTTTTTCACCGTAGAGAAAACCTTTATTATTTCATTTCACCCGTCCCATGTAAAATTTTCATTTTCGAGGTATTTTAAAGATATTTTATTTTCTGTATTCGCTTCGTTCTTCAGTTCGCACTTTGCTACCGAGGCAGCAACAACTAAAAAAATACTTTAAGGTAAAATTTAGTTAAGAAAGTTTGAAATACGTTTATTTAACGTAGTCTTAGTGAAAACTTGTTTAACATTTCACTTCTTTTTTCAGTTTTCTAAACAAACCAATCATGTCTATATTTTACAAAATGAGATGCCAATCCGTATTCCAGAGAATGAGTTTTAACGGCTCTGACATCTCAGTAGAAGAAGTAAAGAGCGAAATACTAAAGAAGAACCGTTTCGGTAAAAGCAACGATTTTGAACTTCAATTAATCAACGCCGATACGGGAAAAGGTAAGACGAAAATAACATATTACAATTTTGCATTTTTATTTTGAATATTGTTTTTAGTGTTTGGGGATGATAAAGCAATGATTTTGAAAAATACCAGTGTGTTGTATGCAAGGATACCGAGAGTTCTGAAGAAACGAACACCAAAAACTTGTAACAAAAACAAAGTTCCTCAAAACAAAACTGATTCAAATAAATACGTAAATCCAGATTTTTCTTTGTTGAAAAACGATGCAGAGAAGATTGATGCGATGATGCACCAAAGCACAGTAGATTACAATGCTGTGAAGTAAGTTACATTCAATATCAAACTGAATTTAGATTAACAGTATTTTTTTATCTTTTAGTTACCCAACTGAGGTAGTAAACAAAAAGATGCCTCAACATTACGTTTGCCTAAATGTCATATACCAGGACATTATATTGGAGATTGTCCTTTAGGTGAAAACAGAATGCCGATTAAAAGAAGTTCGGGGATTCCTAGAACGTTTATGGAACCCGTGACAGGTCCTGAAGTTGAAGGCGCTATGCTCATGGGCGATGGATCTTTCGCAAGAAGACGTAATGGTGCTCCAACCCGCACGGATCAAAATGTCCGTGCACAAAGAATTGCTGCAGTTAAACCATACTAAGATTAAATAATAATGAGTATGTATATATGTGAGTATTTGTGTTAGTAACTTGTTCTGTGACACAGTGTTTTACATCCAGTTTTGACTCTTTACCTTTCATTAGTTAGTAGTGTTTCTTTAATTAACTTTTATTCATTCTTTGTTCGACGTTAATTAATATTGATCGAATTTGTCGTTGTTGACCTTAGCTGGTATCTGAGCTCTTATGAATTCATAACAATCATTTATGGAAATCTATTATTAATCAAATAAGTTATTTCATATATTCTGAAGGCATTGTCGAGTTGTCGAGCAATGTTTGCTAATGATTGAAACAAATTATATATCGTATATCTTAGATTATCGTAATATAAATTGTGTGATTGATATTATTGGTAATGATTTATTCTCTGGCTGTTGCCCAGTAATCATATTATTCTCATCTATTTGTAAGAAGCATTGAAACAAATATTTTAAGACTTTTTATTATTTCGTTAATTGAATAATGTATTTAACATTATTGGAAATCATTTATTGTCCAGACATCATATTCACATTTATTGTATTATCAGCATCAATTTGTAATAATGATAGAAACTAATGAGAATTTATCTTTCTAATTTTGTTTAAGTTTTTTTTATTATATTGCAAGTTAAATTGTATGATTAATATTATTGGTAATGATTCATTATCCGGAGAGCATATTGAAATTTTTTATATTATTAGCATCAATTTATGATAATGATTGAAGCAATTGAGAACTTATTTTTCAAATTTTGTTTATGTTTAAGATTTTTATATTAAATCCTAAGTTAAATTGTGCGATTAATATTATTATTAATCATTTATTGTCCAGTCATCATATTGACATTTATTATATTATAAGCATCAATTTGTATTAATGATAGAAACAAATGAGAACTTATCTTTCTAATATTGTTTATGTTTAACATATTTTATTAATTTGTTAATTGAATTATGTGATTATTAATATTTGTAATGATTTATTATCCAGGCATAGAAAGAAATGAGAACTTATCTTTCAAATTTTGTTTAAGATTTTTATATTATATTGTAAGTTAAATTGTATGATTAATATTATTGGTAATGATTCATTGTCCAGAGATCATATTGATTTTTTTTATATTATTAGCATCAATTTATGATAATGATTGAACCAATTGAGAACTTATTTTTCAAATTTTGTTTATGTTTAAGATTTTTTTTATTAAATCGTATGTTAAATTGTGTGATTAATATTATTATTAATCATTTATTGTCCAGTCATCATATTGACATTTATTATATTATAAGCATAAATTTGTATTAATGATAGAAATAAATGAGAACTTATCTTTCTAATATTGTTTATGTTTAACATATTTTATTAATTTGTTAATTGAATTATGTGATTAATATTATTTGTAATGATTTATTATCCAGACATAGAAATAAATGAGAACTTATCTTTCAATTTTTTTTAAGATTTTTATATTATATTGTAAGTTAAATTGTATGATTAATATTATTTGTAATGATTTATTATCCAGACATAGAAACAAATGAGAACTTACCTTTCGAATTTTGTTTAAGATTTTTATATTATATTGTAAGTTAACTTGTATGATTAATGTAATTGGTAATGATTCATTATCCAGAGATCATATTGAAATTTTTTATATTATTAGCATCAATTTATGATAATGATTGAAGCAATTGAGAACTTATTTATCAAATTTTGTTTATGTTTAAGATTTTTTTTATTAAATCGTAGGTTAAATTGTGTGATTAATATTTTTATTAATAATTTATTGTCCAGTCATCATATTGACATTTATCATATTATAAGCATCAATTTGTATTAATAATAGAAACAAATGAGAACTTATCTTTCTAATATTGTTTATTTTTAACATATTTTCTTAATTTGTTAATTGAGTTATGTGATTAATATTATTTGTAATGATTTATTATCCAAACATAGAAATAAATGAGAACTTATTTTTCGAATTTTGTTTTTCTATTATATCTCAAATTAAATGTGTGTGATTAATATTATTGGATATTGTTTGATTGCCCAGACATATATAATCTGTAGCAGTGGCCAAGTAATCTATTTGTAAGAATAATTGAAATAAATATTTTTAATTTTACTTGCGTTTAATTTATCTAATAAACATTCTATTCTACTATACAAAAAATAATAATTATTATTTCATTTTCCTCTGTTAATAAGTTTATCTCTCTTAATAATAAAAATTTAATAAAATTATTTTAAAGATTTATATGGATTTTCTTATTAAATAAATCTTCTTTCAGAACATAAAAATAAACATTAAAATATATGTAATTGGAACTGGTGGAAATTGGTTAATCCCACCACCCAATAATCAAGAATGATTTTGCAGCTGACTCGGTAGGGTCAAAATTGTATTCTTCTTGAGTAAAAGAAAACATTAAATTATTTTAATTCTCAAATTTTTTTGATTTTAAATAAACTAATACACTATTGTTATGCACTTTTGATATATGTGTTACAGTAAAAGTATAAAATTGATAAATGCACACATTACATTTAACGTAACACATGTATATACACTTACCAGCATGATTGGTAAATGTTAGTATAAATCTGAGATCAGCATCATATATCTACTTACCGATAAATATATACATTTTCCAACGTATATAAGTAAAAGTCCTCCAGTAGTTAGAAATTCCTTTGTTATAATTTTCCTTACTGATATTTAAAAATTAGGCAAATCATCAATACAGAACATTCTTTGCATACTTAAAATTGATTTCTTTTAAATATTGCTTTTATTTATTATATTTTGTACCCATTTGATAATATTGTTTATTTCCATCGACAGCCAATATTACACATATAGTAAATTTCTGTGATCTATTTTATCTATCTACATCTGGTATCGATCAGTATTTTAATGGTATCAGAAAGTAATTTTAGATTTTTTTTTGCATTTTAATTGGTTGATTTTACAATTTTTTATTAACGATATGCACCTGCCAGCCGCCTGCCCTTAACATAAACCTGTACAACGTCATGAGGTAAATGTATACGTTTCCCGGAAAATGGTGGGTAAATCTAATTTTAACTTACTTTTACTATCCAAGCTCTGATCATTAATGAATTTTTGCAAGTACCTGAATAAGTTGACAAAATCAAGTAACATGTCCATTCTAATTTAAATAAATTGTTTCAGGTAGCCAGGACTTAAGTCTGGAATTGTTACGATTTTCCGTTAATTTTTTTGGAACGATTTATATAACCAAGTCTTACATAATATTTGTGTATAGTTTTGATACTTTTATTAAATTTTATTTTCCGTCAATGTATTGATTTCATAGTGGAGATTGATTTTCTTCAAGTCTGAAAAAAAACAGCTCTAAATTAATCGAATCACTTGGGTACAGATCTAAAAGTATTCAATTCCATGATTAAAATAAACAAAATATGAGAATGTAAAAATGTACATAATACAATAAAACAGATGACCAAATCTAAAAAACTTTCCTATCTATTAGTAAATCTTTATTAGCAAATGCAATTTAAACTCCAAACTCATTGAAAAAAATAAAACCCAATAAAATATTATCAAGTCGAAAGAAGCTGAAACTATCAGGAAAGCAAAAGGAATTAAGGCGTAACCTGAATGCGTTTTTTCGATTTCTGGCACAAAAATTCCCGGAATTTTAGAATACCTCTTGGAAAAGACTTTGGAAACAGCATTCATGTATTGGCACCTACCAATAATCTGTAGTATTCCACACAAAACATTTTACTACTAACGGGAAGGTAAGGCGCCAGATTGCTGCATTTTGCCTTGTTCATTAGAAATGCATATATTTTTCGCCGTAGAGAAAACCTTTTTTTTGTAAAAGTTTATTGTTTAATTTCACCCGTCCCATCCAATATCTTCGTTTTAGGGGTATTTTCATGAGAATTTATTTTCTGTGCAATAAAACAATATAGTTGCAAAATCACTACTTAAAGGTTCGCTTCGATGTTTTTTCTTCAGTTCGTACTTTGCTATCGAAGCATCAACAACAAAATTTGTTTAAGGTAAATAACTTTTAAATATTTTTTAAAGTATACTTAGTTGAGGCACTTTCAAACACTTGTTTAAAGTATATTTAGTTAAGAAAATTTCAAACATTTATGTATAGTTTATATATTTTAAAAGTAACGTTTAACATTTTTCAGTTATCCAAAGAAACCAATCATGTCCATTTTTTACAAAATGAGATGCCAATCCGTGTTCCAGAGAATGAGTTTTAACGGCTCTGACATCTCAGTAGAAGAAGTAAAAAGCGAAATACTAAAGAAGAACCGATTTGGTAAAAGCAACGATTTTGAACTTCAATTAATCAACGCCGATACGGGAAAAGGTAAGACGAAAATAACATATTACAATTTTGCATTTTTATTTTGAATATTGTTTTTAGTGTTTGGGGATGATAAAGCAATGATTTTGAAAAATACCAGTGTGTTGTATGCAAGGATACCGAGAGTTCTGAAGAAACGAACACCAAAAACTTGTAACAAAAACAAAGTTCCTCAAAACAAAACTGATTCAAATAAATACGTAAATCCAGATTTTTCTTTGTTGAAAAACGATGCAGAGAAGATTGATGCGATGATGCACCAAAGCACAGTAGATTACAATGCTGTGAAGTAAGTTACATTCAATATCAAACTGAATTTAGATTAACAGTATTTTTTTATCTTTTAGTTACCCAACTGAGGTAGTAAACAAAAAGATGCCTCAACATTACGTTTGCCGTAAATGTCATATACCAGGACATTATATTGGAGATTGTCCTTTAGGTGAAAACAGAATGCCGATTAAAAGAAGTTCGGGGATTCCTAGAACGTTTATGGAACCCGTGACAGGTCCTGAAGTTGAAGGCGCTATGCTCATGGGCGATGGATCTTTCGCAAGAAGACGTAATGGTGCTCCAACCCGCACGGATCAAAATGTCCGTGCACAAAGAATTGCTGCAGTTAAACCATACTAAGATTAAATAATAATGGGTATGTATATATGTGAGTAGTTGTGTTAGTAACTTGTTCTTTGACAAAGTGTTTTACATCCAGTTTTGACTCTTTACCTTTCATTAGTTAGTAGTGTTTTTTTAATTAACTTTTATTCATTCTTAGTTCGACGTTGGTATCTTAGTTCTCATGATTTCATAACAATCATTTATGGAAATCTATTTTTAACTAAATAAGTTGTTGCATGTATTCTGAAGTAATTGTCGAGTTATTATAATACATTTCTGCTAATGATTGAAACAAATCAGAAGTTTTTTCAATTAAAGATTATCGTAATTTAAATTGTGTGATTCATATTATTGGTAATTATTTATTGCCCAGTAATCATATTATTCTCATCTATTTGTAAGAAGCATTTAAACAAATATTTAAACTTTTTATTATTTCGTTAGTTAAATTATGAGATTAATATTATTGGTTATGATTTATTGTCAAGACATTATATTGACATATATTATATTATCAGCATCAATTTGTAATAATGATAGAATCTAATGAGAACTTATCTTTCTAATTGTGTTTAAGATTTTTTTATTATATCGTAAGTTAAATTGTGTGTTTAATATTATTGGTAAAAATTCATTATCCAGCGATCATATTGATTTTTTTTATGTTATTAGCATGAATTTGTGATAATGATAGAAGCAATTGAGAACTTATCTTTCTAATTTTGTTTATGTTTAAGATTTTTCTATTAAATCGTAGGTTAAATTGTGTGATTAATAGTATTGGTAATGAATGATTTATTATCAGCATCAATTTGTATCAATGATAGAAACAAATTAGAAGTTATCTTTCTAATTTTGTTTAAGTTTAACACTTTTTATTAATTCCTTAGTTGAATTATGTAATTAATATTATTGGTAGTGATTTATTGTCCAACCATCATATTCGCCTTTATTATTATCAACATCAATTTGTATTAATAATGGAAAGAAATGACAACTTATCTTTCAAATTTTATTTTTTTATTATATCGTAAGTTAAATTGTGTGATTAATTTTATTGAAAATTGTGTGATTGCCCAGACATATATATTCTGTAGCAGTGACCAAGTAATCTATTTGTAATAATAATTGAATCAAATATTTCTAATTTTACTTACGTTTAAGTTTTTTAATAAATATTATATTCTACTATACAAAAAATAATTATTATTATTTAATTTTCCTACCATAATAAGTTTATGTCTCTTCATAACGAAAATATAATAGGTAAGTTTTAGAATTGCTTAAATTTATTTTAAAATATTCACTTTATATTGACTTCACTAATATTTTGATTTTTACTCGAAGTAACTATAATTGCTTCATAAATTATCCATGTAAAAATCATACTATTTAAGAATGTAACAATGTCTATTTAAGTATTTAACTTATTTATAAATACATTATAAAAATAACAGAATATTTTAATTTATCGGAGTTACTCGTATTTTTATCTCTGTTAATTTAAAATTGATAGTTTTTTTCTGTCGTAATAATTTTATTTACAAACTGTTCATCAATGTGAATATTGAGAAAATCTCGTCGCGGTTGACATTAAATGGATAAGCTTTTCCGTTGGTTACCATTATGATATGTTTTAACATAAATAATTAATTAAATCTATATACTAGTGATTTGCAACGGTTTAGCCTGTTTGTGGTTTCACTGTTATCGAGTAGGCCAATAGCAAAAACATTAGTGTGTGACTTCAGTCTATCTTGGTATCTACTACTAAATGTTGGTATTATATCCTCGTGTTGTTATTCTTGTCCAACCTCGGAGCCCTAATAATACTTCATAGGCATTTTGATTGGAACCTTTGTATAATTGTATACCATACGTCCATACTGGTTTCAGTATTACTTTGTATATAAGTAATTTATTTTCCTCTGATAATTCCGATCTTAGCCTGAATGTGATCTTTGCAGGTGAGTCTTCTGTCGAGATGCATGCCTAGATATTTGACTTTTGTTGCTTTGGACAGATCTTATCCATTAAGACTTACAGTTGGGCAGGTTAACTGCTATTCTCCATTTTTTCTAAATTTTGCTGTACATATTCAGATGCTACTGCTGGATTCTCATCTGATGCCAAGGTTGGTGTGTCATCAGCAAATATTGCAATCGTAGTATTATTATTTAGGAATATCTGCCGTGTATAGAAGATAAAGCAGTGGTCCTAAAACACTTCCTTGCGGCACCCCTGACTCTATTGAATATAAATCGATGTATTCGTCTTCTATTTTTACCTGAAATATTCTATTATCAAGGTATGATTTTATTATTTTAAAATAATTATATGGCAAGTTCTTCTTTGTTTTGTATAGTAGTCGGAGATGCCAAACTTTGTCAAATGCTTGCGATATGTCCAAAAAGGCAGCCGATCTTTTACTTTCCAGGTCTTGGTAGAAGGAATTTACTATGCTGTTTACTAGCTCTATTGTGCTGTGTTTGCAATGAAAGCCAAACATGTTTTAATTTCCTTTGGGAAAATTATGAAACTGTATCTTCTCAGCTTCAACTTCCTTCTCTTCTTCTAAAATAATCTGCGAACATTTCTGCTTTAAGTGAAATAATAAAGTTAAACAAATAATAAATAAGTAAACTATGTATAATATTATTATTAGTAGGTTTAAAAATGATTTAATTAAATAATATCAACATTGCAAATACAATTGGAGTTATGATTGTCATGTGAGTGAAGTCCAGTTGCGTATTAATAGAAGTTCAAGTATTCCTAAGACCTTTATCAATATTAAGCATTGCACCAATTGACATAAACTAAGCAAATGTATGTTAATCAGACGAAACATTTATTTTTACATCAATTTTACTAGCCGAACTTGTTATAAACTCATAAAGAGAAGGAAAATATTTCAATTCTCCATTACTAACTCACTTTAGACACAAATTTAATTTTGTCATGGTAGCGTTCACTTTACTATCTGCTAAGTATCCCAATTTACAGAGCCATTTCCAGTTATGTAAACAGTTTCTCAGCTCAAATCTATTATTAAGAAAAACTTGAAGTTTTAAGTTCAAATAATTGGTTCAGAATTGTCCATCGAGATAGCTGACGAACATCAGTATGAAAAAGAAGCTGAATATGATTACTTCTTAGAGTAAAACTGTATTGTAGAACTGTTATAATATAGATGAACCGAAATCAAATGCACCTGTAAAATCTTCGTACTTCATACATCATTTTGTATGTTAAAAGTATGTACTTGAAATGGGTTGCAGATATGTGTTCTAAAATCTGAGTTATTGTTTGAAATTGAAATTTATGAACATAATATAGCTTGAAGAAGTTTGTAACTAAGTAATGATGTAGAAGTTTGCTTTTGTTAGTCTAAGTTTAGTAAGTAGGTATGCGTGTGCAGCCAAGTGTATGTGTGTGTGTGTAGGTGTACGTGTATTCCTTAAAAGGATCATTTGATACTCCATTAAGGTTCCTTGTGCAAAGTCTTTGATAGTTTCCTCCCCTCTTAGTAATCGTGTTTTTCGTTACTCCTGAGGATATTTACCTCGTTCTCCTCCACCGAATCGGTATCTCATTAACCAACATCGCGCATGCAAGTCCTGGGAGTCCGTGTGGATGTGTATGTGTGAGAGTATTCAGGCATGGTAGAAGAAGACTAGGAGGAGTGGATGGAGATAGTGGGTTGTGGGTGGTTGTCATGGGTATGGGATGGGGTGGTGTAGAGAGCGCGCGTGTGTGGGGTGGTTTGAATGTAAGATGTAAAACGAACGTCGTCTATGCAGAGAACAAAAGAGGGGGTGGCGGATGTCGGGGGTGGGTGGATTTGGTGTGGTGGTGAGCGTTCGCACACCGGTGCGAGATCTCCCATTGGCTGCCGGTAATAACTCAAGACGTCTGAATTAATGAGCTGCACTTCGGAAACCCCGGATCCCGTCACCTCCGCTGACATCCCTCTCTACCCCTATGAAAGGTATTAATGCAGAAAACCCTAAGCCCGGATCTCCCGTACCATTAAGCCTTCCCACGTTCGCTGCTGAATAAACTTTCTTAGGATAAAACAAAGAGAAACGCAAAATTGCAATCGATTTATTATGAGCTATCCACAATCCAATGCCGTTCCAATACTTGCATGATGCGAGATTCTCCACGAAGTACGTGCGATTTGGATTATTATCTTAACTTGTGATTGAACAATACTCGATCTAAGTTTCTGCGAATTAAATAACTATACTCAGATATACAAACAACATTCACAAAATTGTATACAAAAAGTTAATAGAAATTATAATGATACTTCTAGGAATATTTGCAATCTAAATTATTTAACTTCATAGCATAACAAATATACTCAAACCTGTTTTTACATGGATTCTTTTGAAATGTGTTATTATCTTATTTATCCGTTTCAACCTCGAGATCATATATAGAATAATTATTTCCAAATTTTGTATTTCTCAGTAGTTCTACAGTGGAACCACCTGTTACTCAAAATCTAAACAAAAATAAAAACAATATATTATGCATTTGTAATGTATTATACATTTTTCACTTAATTTTCCAAAAAAATCGACAGTTTTGAGCCACAAAGGGTTAAAGGTGTAATTACATCTTCGTATGAACCAGGTGCTAAACAATTTGTGCTACAACTTGTGAAAATTATAGCAGATAGTATTGTTTCATTTGCAGTTAGAGATAAATTACAAGTTGAAAACCCTCTTGACAATGATGAAATAATAACTTTCCACCGAATCGGGAAACCATTTTCTTCCTCATGATACTCTCGTTGAAAATTCTATGTACTTTAAACGTTAGATGGATCATTACCATTTTTTTATTAATTATACTTTTTTTCGGTGTCAAGTACCAATTTTCTGATTTTTGATTTCCAATTATCAACTATTTTATAAAAATCACAACTAATTAAATAATATCGACAATATAGTTAATAAAAAATAATAGTTCCATTATATAAGTTTCGTTGCGCCGTAGCAATA